TGGACATTGTCTAAAGCCTAAACATGGGATTCTCCAGGACGTCGAGAAAATGGCGTCCAACAAGAAGACTTTCGAGACGCCATTTTAAATATTTTGAAATAATAGTCTGTGTTATTAAAACTGATGTAGACTAGATGTGATTTAAAAACTTTGATTGTGAGGTTTTTGTAAAACGTTTCTTAAGCAGGGGCGTAGCGAGGGGGGGGGGCGGGGGGCGGACCGCACCGGGTGACACCATCTAGGGGGGTGACACCAAGGCAAAAAATAGCAAAATATATAGAGAAAAACTTGAGGGGGGGGGGTGCAAATCGAAAGTTTGAGGGGGTGCAAATCGAAAACTTGAGGGGGGGGGGTGCAAATCGAAAGTTTGAGGGGGGGTGCAAATCGAAAACTTGAAAGTTTGTCCCCGGGAAGGGTCGCAACGCCTCTGGGGGGTGACACCATTAAGTGCCGCACCGGGTGACACCCGACCTCGCTACGCCACTGTTCTAAAGAGTTGACGTATTTCATGTATATTAGTATTTTTATTATCTAAACAAAATTTAAAACTACAGTTTGGTCTTTTGAAGTTTACACACGGAAAATGTAATTAAAAATGAGGTAATTTTTTGGTCTTTCTGTAGTTCAAAGGTATGAATTACAAAGGTAAAAGAATCATCTTTAGACCTTGCAATCCATTGGGCAGATGAAGTAGAGTTCACATGTTTCTTGATCAATGCATATGAATTGAATGTGTGGTCAGCTATTTGCTCAGCCGCCTATACTTTTCCTAACATGAGCTGGGTACCTATCAGAGCTGGGTGAACTCATGGAAGTTCTACTGACTTGGAACAAGATTCGAACTCCAGATTTTTTGGGTTAGCAGCCTAGCGCCTTACCGCTTAGGCCACGCCGTCCCATAATAACAATATACTTTGGCCGTAATTTCAGACAATGGGAATGACGCTCCGACTCCTGGTTCTTGTGACTCTTCTAGCGTCAGTTACCTGCTTGTCTGATTACTCCTGCCTGACCGTCCCGCCCCCTCAACCTTGTAACCTGCAAATCATTTACCCTGAGCCCATAGGCATCACTGTGTGTGATGGAGCATATACCATGGGCTCAACCAGCGTATTCGCAAATAAACCGGCTTTAAAAGCTATTCTTTCAAATGTAAGTGGTCAGTAATTCATTCTTTAATATCATTGTTTTTGTTATATCTCTTCGAAGTTAGGCTCATAAACATATTTTCTTTTTATCCAAGCAAAACTTATTTAATACAAGGATAAAATAAAATACTTTTTAGCAGTTTACAATGTCCGTCTATCTATGGTTTGCAGGCAATTTTGACTTTGACTTTTTCAATCAGTTTTAATTAAATAAGGGCATACACATTCTTCTCCGAAGACAACACGATAATTTTAAATTAAATACAGTTTTAATTATTAATTAAAAATAGATGAAGTATTACCATATTTATTAATAAAAGGATCTAGGAGAGATCTAAGGCTATTAATTAAGATATAAAGCAAATATTTTAGTAGTATGGGGTGTCGGCTTCATTTTGACAGAACTGAATGAAATAAAAATAAAATACTTTATGTTTTTAAAATCTTTAATATGGTCAAATTATTTTAATTTTCAAAAGTCGTAATCCCCAATTTAAATTATAATAAAATGCTGCCTAAAACTAAAAAAAAAAAACAAGCTTGCTATCTTTGGTAAAACCAATGCTAGCTCATTAAATCTCTTTTTTTAGTACATTCAATGGACTAGTAGTTATAACGTATTTCTTATTTCTGCCACATAGCAGTTACAAAATAATTCATTTTTTTCTGATGATTGATTTACTGCTGTTTTTTCCCTCCAGAAACTACATAAGTTTTTCCTTCATATGTACCATGAGAGGACTCACAAAGTGTATTGGGCTGGAGTTGGTATAGTAAGTGTTTGCTAGCAGTGACGTAGCCAGGAATTGGACATGGGGGGGGGGGGGTTCAAATATGTTTCCATATGTATACAATCATATATATATATATATATATATATATATATATATATATATATATATATATATATATATATATATATATATATATATATATATATATAACCCCTCTTGCCTACGCCACTGTTTGCTAGTATTGTTATGTCTGTTTTTGTCTCACAGGTTGATGATCTAACTAAAAATTAACAAAGTAATTTCAGAGTAAAACATTACAAAAATTATGTCATAGCTCTAGTGGGTGTTTTGCATGCGTCGTCTAATTTTGATTCGCCAACGCGAGCTAGGTCTTAAAAAGAGCTGGTGAAATTCTACTGACTCCAGAAATGAACTCATCTCATCTTCTTTTTTTTCTTTTATGTGCCCAGATACATGGGACCGCCCGGATTTGAACTCGAGACCTACGGGTGAGCAGTCCAATTCTCTACCGCTAGACCACTCAGTTCCCTCGGGATAAATCATATCTGATCATTAAGTCTGTTTTGACCCACACTACCTATCTATATATAATTCTCTTCTTGGAGACGTTAGAAAACACTAAGCTGTAAGCGCGCTCCCTACCACCCCCATCCCTACATGGTCTGGTGAACTGTGGTTCACGCTAAATGTTTACAATCGTAGAGCCGGGTTTAGTGACGGCTATTAGGGGCAGATAATTTAGTTTGAAACGATTTTAAACTTAGGGGAGGTAACTAAGAGGAGTTTGCTTTCAAGAAGGTGGGGGGTGGGGTAGGGGTTGGGGGAAAGGAGGTGGGTATCGTCCTTAACGAGCTACTGATAGTGTTTTAAAGCAAATATTTTCGGTGGCAGCGTTGGTACTGTCGAATTCACAAATTATGAATTACTGAAAAGTAGAAAATAAAACAACTAAATAGCGGCGTATGATATGCTGCGGGTCGGCTCGTCTATCATAAGTAAGAAATGACGTTCAAAATGTGCTCAGCATAACTAAACAAAAACAACCAGTAAAACGTGTACGTTTCGGAGTAAATACACAGGCGACATTAAAAGCAGCACGTTCAAATCTAAATACGCAACACAAATTGTATGTAACGAAATCACAACAAATATTTTTCGCAATAAAAAACAACAAACACACAGTAAATTAGCATCACTTAATAACAAGTAATAAACATATTACTCAAAAGAAGATTTGTTTACAAGATTTATTTTATTCTATTTTATAGGTAGACGACTTATGTAACATATATGTCGAAAGGGAAGATTTTGGTAAGTTAGTAAATGATTTCATTAATCTCTATTCGCTCATAAGATTATATGTGTTACATAGCCTACCCATTCAAACTGAATTTCCCCTCGATTGAATTACTTCACACATTCAAACTCGTTTCCCTTAAGTGTATACCTTTACACATTCATAATGAAGTTCCTTTAGAGTGAATAACTACACATTCATTCAGAAGTTCTCTTTGAGTTTATAACTACACATTTATAGTGAAGTTCACTTTGAGTGAATAACTACACACTCAAACTGAAGTTCCCTTTGAGTGAATAACTACACACTCAAATGTGAAGTTCCCTATGAGTGAATAACTACACACTCAAACTGAAGTTCCCTTTGAGTGAATAACTACACACTCAATCTGAAGTTCCCTTTGAGTGAATAACTGCACATTCATACTGAAGTTCCCTTTGAGTGAATAACTACACACTCAAACTGAAGTTACCTTTGAGTGAATAACTGCACATTCATACTGAAGTTCACTTTGAGTGAATAACTACACACTCAAACATAAGTTCACTTTGAGTGAATAACTACACATTCATACTTTAGTTCCCATCAATAACTCACGCAATACCTTCCCACTGACATATTTTAGTCTAGTACATTAGTGCTTCATAATTTTCGTGGCAACCTCAACTCATTGACTAAAATTACCCTAATGACGAAAACTGACTGAATAAAACTGTAAGATTTACAGACTATCGAACAGAAAGAATGAACGGTCTTATTTAAACAGACTGATTGGTTGATAGACTGACCAGCGGTATACTTGAGTCCAACCAACTGACCCTGCTGTCTAACTAGAACTAACTGACGGACTAAAACTCATCCTCTAGAGCAGGGATCTCCAAACTACGGCCCGTGGTCGGATGCGGCCCGCGAGGTCCTCTCATCCGGCCCGCGGAGATCTTTTTGTCCACGGAAAAAACATTTGTTGGTGATGGCTGAGGAACTTTGCCCAGAAAAATCAAAGACATGTTTGGAACTAACTGGCCCGAGAACTGAGATTTGATAGTTAATGCGGCCCTCGGAATGAAAAGTTTGGAGACCCTTGCTCTACAGGACTCACCATGCAGATAGTGAATTTTTTTCCATTCATTCTTCATCTTAGGTGAGGGCTCAACTTGAAACTATAGGGGTGGGGGAAGACTTAAATTTCATTGTTGGGGGGGGGGGGGGGGGCAATAAAGGATATATTTCCTGAATAAATTATACTATTTCTTTTTCATTTCATTCGGGTGTCGGTGGAATCGCTTGGGGGAAAAACTACAGATCTTCTATGAGACGAACTTATTGCGTTCATTCATTCCCTCCAACCAGCCTACAAGCACCCAGTTTCCCGTGACAGCGAGCGTTTCGTCTATGTTTTATTCGACTTTTGGAACAGAAACGACAGTTTCCTTGAAGCCTTGACGTCGGATTTGTGCGTTCTTATTAAAACTAAACATCTGGGCCAGCCTGTCGCTGTGGGTTCCTTGCGAATTGCGAATTTAGCAACAGGCTTGGATGGACCGACTGACAAAAGGGCTCAGCCAATTCCCTGCCCGGTGCCCGAGGACGGTAATGGAGATGTTACAACTGCTCCTGGGTGTGGCTGTGTGTTACAAACTAGTTATATTTTACTTATCGTGCTGTTACTGATATTCTGTTTCATACACACGTAAACTGGACAAACTGTATATTTATTAATCTCTATTCATTGACTGGTGTGTCATTTTTATACGCATGTGAACTGGAAAACACTGTATATTTATTAATCTAAATTCCTTGACCGGTGTGTCATTTTTATACACATGTGAACTGGAAAACACTGTTGTTTTAATCCCCATGACTTTATTGTTGTGTAGTTTGTGCATCTACACCCCCCCCCCACCCAACATCTAAAGCTAGCGCTCAGACACAGACAGAAATAGAAAAAGACAAAAACAAGCATTAAGATGCCATTGTCAATGCATGTCCTTTTAGCGTCTTTGTGTGACTTACTGTCTTAATAAAACACCAATTATCTTTGAACACAATGTTTGATTAACTGCTAAGATATACTAAAGTTCTATTGTAGAAAGCGCCTTGACTCGACTGAGCTTTTATTTAAATACTGTTCTACACCTAAATTTAACGTATATTTGATCCACACTGATATTGTTCTACACCTAACCTTAACGTATCTTTTGATCTACATTGAATCTGTTCTACGCCTAACCTTAACGTATCTTTTGATCTACATTGAATCTGTTCTACGAATAACCTTAACGTATCCTTGATCTACATTTAATCTGTTCTACGCCTAACCTTAACGCATCCCTTACCTACACTAAAACCTGCTCTTAAATTGTTCATGTATTATATGTGTTAGTGTAATTATAATAGTGTCAGTGTGTATGTGTATGTGTGTGTTTGTTAATAAAGATATGTGTCACATAATACACACCATTTTTTGTGTTATTTATTTAAACGTTTTTTTTTCTTCAACTCATTTTATTTTTTCATTATTCTTAAACTATTGTTAAAAATATTAGCTAATAAAGCTATTTATTTCTACCCTACGGTTTGTTTTTAATCAAATTTTATAAGATGATGTTTTGTGAAACCCGGATCGTCCCCTCTTGCTAAAACCTAAAACTGTTACAATCTTGACCATTTTTCACCAATTTAAATCTTACAGTTTCACCATTGGTAATATCAACCTATGTTGACACACATTTAAGATTAATATCTGGAAAACATTTGTATATGCTTACAAATTCTAGGACTAACATTTTAATAATTAAAAAATAATTAAGAAGTTACTGAAAATTGAAAACATTTGTATATGCTTACAAATTCTAGGCCTACAACCATGATTTGTTTTGGTCTAGTTTCCAATTAAGACTGGGACTAAGTAAAAAAAAAGGTTACCGACTTAAATTGAATATTTTTGTAATAATATTTTTTTCTCAGTGAGTACGAATTACCTAACTGCCTCTATGTCAGTGAATCACTTTTTTTTAATCCGTTTATTTCTGACTAACACAATTGGACTAAAATGAGATTTTTAAAAAATTCAGGTTTTAGATTGTTATACATTATATAGGGACGGCATGGTCAAAAGATAGAGCGTTTGGCTGCTTGCCCGAAGGTCTCGAGTTCGGATCTCGGTTCGGATTTGTAACTGTATGACGTCCCTGTGAACACCCGGCTCTTATGGGTATCTGATTTATGCAGGGAAAAGTAAAGGCGACCTCACTATTCCATCATATGCCGAGGTCTTTAAGCTCTACTTTATCTGCCGATGGATAGTTAAGTATAAAGAGCAATCCTTACATACCTTACTAGGTACATTGTAAAACAAACTGGAAAAGATTATATGTATAATGTATAATCATCTTTTCCCGTTTTTGCCCAAGACACATGGGGTAGATGAAGTAGAGTTCCTCTGCTTCAATGACCTCGACATGCAAGGGGATAATGTGGTCAGTCCAATGCCCAGCCTTTTTTCTTTCCCTAACAGGAGTTAGGTACAAATATGAGCTGGGTGGACTCATTGACGTTTTACTGATGGATCCCGGATTCGAACTCGAGACTTTAAGGTCTGCAGTCTCGCGTGTATAATTTATTTATATGCTTAATTATTTATTTTATTTTCGTATCGCATAGGCCTAATTTGGTTTTACATGTACCACATACCATGGTTACCAGTCAGGTGGAATAATTTATTTATTTGGTTGCGGCCCCTGTGGGACCGCAACTGTTGATGTATTTTTTTATGCTCTTCTGTGAGCGATGCTCCCCGTGTTCCCATGTCATGTGACCTCTGGGACTCTGGATAGTTCGTACCTGTGTCCGTGTCATTCAGACCCAAGGCTGCTGTTGACATGGACGGTGCAGTTTCTTAGGTTAAAGTTGCAATGAAGACCTAATGAAGGGCTACATAGCCGTTTATGGCTTGGATGTTCATGATTAGCCGTGTACGGATTTAGAATACAGCGAGTATCTAACAACAGCGTCACTTCGTCGTGTGTTAGCTCTCAGGGTCAGCCCAATTAAACACTACACCTCAGTGGGTGATATCATCCATACTGAGGCAGTGTTACGTTTTGCTTAATATCTATTATTTATTATAGTAACACAGCGTTTACTTATTTATATTTGCACTATACCACACGTAACTATTTTATTTTTATATTCCTGCACCGTTTTGCACCATCTGCGCAAAATTGTGTTCATTGATGACTCACAGACAAGATGGCAGATAAAGATCTAGTTTGTATCTACGTCGATATTTAGCTGTTACAACTGTTTTTAAAATTGTATCATTGAGCTTTTTTAAAAATATGGTCAGTTTAAACCTAAGGAAATATGTGTGGGTTTTTTTTTTATGTGCCTTCTAAAAAAATGCGTAACAATTAGAGTCAGGGAGAGTTTGGTTCATTTTTTTATTCATAAGGGTGCAAGATCGAAATGGGCATGACCAAGTTGACGATAATCCTTCCGCATTATCCTTGGCTTGGATAAAAAAGTGTTTTTTTTTTCTTTTTTTTTTCTTTATCAGTTCAAGCGACCGTAACAAGTATACATTTGTAAAAAAAATATAATAAGCATGAAAATAATTAAGAAATTTAAACAAATGTAGAATCTAGATCTAGAGATCTAGATCTATTTAATGGAAGTTGCAATATTCACTTTAAATACTTTAAACTATTTTTTTGAGTCTACATTTTTAATTAATTTCATCAAGACAAACATTGATTGGCTCTACAGGAACTCCGTGATCGATATTCTGAAAACACCACTTCATAAAAACCACATAGTAATATGTACTCAAAACTATGCCGATACCATTTATATAATTTAGCCATTTTTCTTTTCAATTTCTCTGGTAAATGTATACTATTAAATATGGCTGCGGCTATTCTTAGTTCACTATAAATAGCCCTATTAAGGCTATTCTAACCCTGAACAATCATTTTTATGTGATTCTTAAATTCCACTCTGCGTGCAATATTTATGCAATGTAGAACTACATTTTTTTTAGATCTAACCCTATCACTAACCCTGAACCCTAACCCTAATGCATAAAACTAATCCTAACTGTTAGCCTACCCAAATCCCCATTTCTAATGCCTAACCCTAACGCCTAACCCTAAACTTAACCCTAACCCTAATGCGTAACCATAACCCTAATGCCTAACTCTAATCCTAATGCTTAACCCTAATGCCTAACCCTAATACCAACCCCAAATGCTTAACCTTAACCTTAACCCTAATGCCTAACGCAAAACCTAACCCTAATACCTAACCATAAACCTTCTAAACCTACCCTAATACCTAACTCTAAACTTAACCCAAATCCCTAACCCCTAAACTCCAAAAACCTAAAGTAACTAAAAAAAGAGAAATAAAACTCTGAGCCAAAATAAAAGGAACCAACGCTCAGTGTTTCTTCCAGACTTTTTTCTCCGGGGGGGGGGGGGGGGACTTGAAATTTTCGGGGGGGGGGGGCGGACACCTGGTAAAAGTATATATTTTCTATATAAATTATATAAATTTCATATCGTTCGGGGGGGGGGGGGGGGGGGTAGAATTTTTTCGGGGGGGGGGGGGGGGCGGGGCTTAGCCTCCCCGAAGAGATGCCTGGAAGAAACTCTGCCAACGCCACGAATACAAATTACATTTTACTTAGGCTAGAGCAGGTCATTTTACTACAGCTAGAGCAGGTCATTTTACTACAGCTAGAGCAGGTCATTTTACTACAGCTAGAGCAGGTCATTTTACTTAGGCTACAGCAGGTCATTTTACTACAGCTAGAGCAGGTCATTTTACTTAGGCTACAGCAGGTCATTTTACTACAGCTAGAGCAGGTCATTTTACTACAGCTAGAGCAGGTCATTTTACTACAGCTAGAGCAGGTCATTTTACTACAGCTATAGTGGGTCATTTTACTACAGCTATAGTGGGTCATTTTACTACAGCTATAGTGGGTCATTTTACTACAGTTATAGTGGGTCATTTTACTACAGCTAGAGCAGGTCATTTTACAACAGGTAGAGCAGGTCATTTTACTACAGCTAGAGCAGGTCATTTTACAACAACTATAGTGGGTCATTTTACTACAGATATAGTGGGTCATTTTACTACAGCTAGAGCAGGTCATTTTACTACAGGTATAGTGGGTCATTTTACTACAGCTACAGCAGGTCATTTTACTACAGCTAGAGTGGGTCATTTCTACAACTAGAGCAGGTCATTTTAATACAGGTATTGTTGGTCATTTTATACAGGTAGTGCAGGTCATTTGGCCACAGAAAAACAAAATTACATAAACCTTAAAATGTATTTTCAAATATTCTACTACACAGCACAGTAATAATTCAATTTAGCTATCGCAATAGCTTCAAGTACTCATGTTCTTTCTGCTACCTATTTCTGGTTTTAACACAGATCAACATTTGTACGTTGGCCGTAATTTCAGACAATGAGAATGACGCTCCGACTCCTGGTTCTTGTGACTCTTCTAGCGTCAGTTACCTGCTTGCCTGATTACTCCTGCCTGACCGCCCCGCCACCTCAACCTTGTAACCTGCAAATCATTTACCCTGAGCCCATTGGCATCACTGAGTGCGATGGAGAGTACACGATGAAAAGTATGGGGGTGACTGTGTTTCAAGATAAACCAACTTTAAAAGCTGCCATTGCAAATGTAAGTATTTATTTCTATAAAAAGATTAAGACTGTATTTTTAATTTCAGGGCCACGCTATATGTCAGAATATGCTTAGTTTAGCAAAGAATATTGCTTTTTACTTTCTCGTATACGAAGTATAGAGAAAGTATTGTAATCGTGCAAAAAAAAAATTTAAAAAAAAAAATCGAGATTTTTGCAAATCTCGACGTTTTACACCTCCCTGAAAACATAGTTTTGCAATCTTGTCCGTATTTATGTGTATGTGTGTGTATGTTAGTGTGTGTGTGTGTGTCTGTAAAACGATAAATTGAGTACAGTTACAGCTAGGTTGATGAAATTGCTTATATTAGTCTTACATCAAATTTATAGATTCGTATAAACTTTTCAGCGATTTCCGATAACCTGATGTGGAACTTTTTCTACTTTTAATTTGTCTAAGGCCTATAACTTGAGTACCATTGCAGACGGATAAATGAAATTTCAGAAATTAGTAAAAGATCTAATTCTCTGCTTTCTCTTAAATTGTGTGTAATTTCTGTTGGTCGAAAGTAGTAATTTACGCTATTTCCGATTTCTCAAAAAACGCATCTGAAGTTACAAAGTACTAATAATATTCCGCACTATTATACACACATTTCTTTCGTTCACTTTGTGTGCAATTATTTTTTTACGTGATTCAATTTTATTTTTAAAAGTGTAAGTTATTAAAAACGGATTAAAAATCATGTCTATATCGTGATGAGCCATCTCCCGTAGTGTTATATAAGAAAATTCGAGAAAGTTTAGGGGAAATCGCTCCCGGTTTATTTTTTAAAGAAACGTTCTTTAATGTAAAAGAAGCAGGTCATTTTACTACAACTAGAGCAGGTCATTTTACTACAACTGAAACAGGTCATTTTACTACAGCTAGAGCAGGTCATTTTACTACAGGTAGAGCAGGTCATTTTACTACAGCTATAGTGGGTGTTATTACTACAGATAGAGCAGGTCGTTTTTCTACAGCTATAGTGGGTCATTTTACTACAGCTAGAGCAGGTCATTTTACTACAGGTAGAGCAGGTCATTTTACTACAGCTAGAGCAGGTCATTTTACTAAAGCTAGAGCAGGTCATTTTACTACAGCTAGAGCAGGTCATTTTACTACAACTATAGTGGGTCATTTTTACTAAAGCTAGAGCAGGTCATTTTACTACAGCTAGAGCAGGTCATTTTACTACAGCTAGAGCAGGTTATTTTACTACAGTTATAGTGGGTCATTTTACTACAGCTATAGCGGGTCATTTTACTACAGCTAGAGCAGGTCATTTTACTACACATAGAGCAGGTCATTTTACTACAGCTAGAACAGGTCATTTTACTACAGCTAGAACAGGTCATTTTACTACAGCTAGAGCAGGTCATTTTACTACAGCTGGAGCAGGTAGTAGAAAAGCAAAACGTGTGTCCTGCGACAAGGATAATCAAATTTATCTTCAAAGTTGTCGAAGCACGATTTAATAACAAAGTAAGCTGAAATCTTCAATCTGTTGTTCAGATTAAAAATAGTTTTTTTTTTTTGTGTTCCTTTTTAGAAACCAAAGAAGCTTTTTCTATTCGTGTTTCATGAGGACTTTCAGGAAGGGAGATGGGGTGCGACATTCACGGTAAGCTGTCATAAAGATGTTAACTGTTCATTCCCCTGAAAAATTTAGACCGCCACCCCTCCGAAAATTTCAAGTGCTCCCTGTGACCTACTGAGGTATTTTTCTTCATTTATATTATTTAGTCTCCTGAGTTATGTGATTGACCTTGGGAGAATTGTTAGTTCACCGGTTCTCATCGGTCAACTGGACTCCGTCACGTCATGTGATTGGATTGTTTAATCCCTAGCAGACCCTCGACCAATGATCTTGCGACCGTGAGGATCCTTAACAGATCCTCAACCAATAGTTGTATGACTTGTGAGTGATCTCCCCTAATACTGAGCTGTATTTAATCTCGTTCAGTTCAAGTCTAAAGGCAGCCTCATTGACCTCTGGACTAGGAGAGAGATGTGCCGTATGTTTTGTGCGCCATTTTCAGTTGTGTAGTTTGTGGCATATTTTATCACATTGTATAAGGTATTGTGTGACCATTTTGGTATTACTGATATTTTGTTCTGGTGTATAATTGCACCCTTTGTCACATCGGTGATAGTTTGACCTTTGTTGGGTTTCTATTGTTGTAGAGGCAATATGTCTCTTATTGATATTTGTGGTATTTATAATGCCATTCAGTTGTGTCAAGTAATGTTCTTTAATGGTGTTTAATATACTAAGCCACAGCTGTGATATCTAGTGATTTTCTTTAACTGTAAGTTGGAGTTTTGAGTTTATTTATTGTACTCTTAAAGTCTGTACATTTTGTACAGACCCAGTGTCGTAGTTTCTTGTACACTTATTAAAAGGGTATTGACAGTTTTAAGTCGTGTTGAGTCTCTTCAATCTGTCGTGTTTTACCCCTAGACATCAATAACGAGCTCACGTCAAGTTGTTGGGATTTCATTAGTAGTGACTTCTGTCAGTGCCATCCCAAACGAACCCGAGGTGTCCGCTCCCTCCGCGGCTGTCGGAGAGCGGTCATTACATCCCCTCCCCCTCCCCCTATAAGAAAAAAGTCTGAAACAAACACTGGTTGATAAATGGGGGCCATGTCGCTTTCCAACCTTTCGGGTAAATCCAGGTCATACCCCGGTGGTCATAACAATATGTTAATAAGCATTTAATACTTTCTATTTTCAAATATATTTTTTTCTCCTTAGATTGATGACTCGTGTACACTACATTTGGAGAGTGAAGATTTCCGTAAGTTAATTACGGGCTGAATGACCGAAAAAAAAAAATAACGACTGACCGACCGACCGACCGACGAACACACTGATCAACCGCGGCAAACAAAGACAAAATTCACGACCAACCCGTCAACACTTTCACTAACCAAATCCACCCCCCCCCCCCCCAACAATAACATAAAAACCCCTTTTGCTGTCCTGCCCACCTACTCCTCACCCAATCATTCACTTCACTCACCCCCACACACATCCATTTACATGCACTCGCTTACTCACACACGTACACACACTTATTCCCATACTCAGTAACTCACACACTTAACCAGTTCTTTAATATATAATTCACAGCATATCAAAAACCCGGCAATGCTCGTATGGCGTACTTTCTATTCGACTTTGGAACAAGGAACGAGAAGTTTGGCAATGCACTTTGGACAATGAAAGTGTGTGAACTTGTAAATAACCGCAGCCTAGGACCTCCTATAGCCGTCGGTGCTATTCGCTTTTCACAATCAGACTCAGACGGCCCTGCAGACAAGAAGGGACAGCCACTCACCTGCCCAACACCTGGATCTGGAACCGCCCCTGGAGCCGCTCCTGGAGCCGGCGCTGGAGCCGGCGCTGGAGCCGTCCCTGGAGCCGCCCCTGGAGCTGGTCCTGGTACTTCCACACCGGCGCCTCGATCTGGCTCTGCGTTTCAAAACTCCAATGTATTCCTCATCATCAGTTCTCTTTATGTCTTAATCTCTCTTGTGTTGTAAAGCACTAAATGTGTTTTTCTAACCTGTCCTCCAGTGTTAAATCTATTTTTACTTTCACTTAAATTAGGCAGCTCCAATTTAGCTTTCTACATTTCAAGTTAGAAACAAGGATATCATCTTAGTTTTCTCATCGATTAAGTAATTGTTGATTTTAGAAATGAAAAATCTCGAAATTATCAATAAGGGATTTCTTTTAGCGTATGTCTTAAGTTTCATCAACATTTCTGTGGTATTTTAACTTGTAAGGTTACTTATTTAATATAGCTATATTTAAAGAATAAGTTTTACAGGATAATATTGGGATAATACTGGGATACAACTGGGATAATACTGGGTGCTGTAATAAACTGGGATAATACTGCAATAATACTGCAAAAAACTGGGACAACATCGGGAAAATACTAGGATATTACGGGGATAATACTGGAATAATACTAGGTTAAAAAATCTGATAATACAAGGATAATAATGGTATAAAACTGGGATAATACTAGGATATACTGGGTTGATACTGGGATAATGCGGAGATAATACTGAGTTGAATACCCTGATAAAACTGAGATAAACAATTCCTATGTGCAGAGAGCGCTTGCAGGCATTAAGTACAGTTGTTTTTTTTTAATTTTAAAAATAATTAGTTTTAAGTTCAGTTTTACCTTGATTAAAGTCAAAATTAAAAATCAAATTTTTGTTACTTTTTGTATTTATCTTTATTTTTTTGCTACTAAAGTTGACACAAAGGTCAGGGAAGTAACGTGACACAAAGGTCAGGGACGTAAGGTTTCACAAAGGTCAGGGACGTAAGGTGTCACTAAGGTCAGGGACGTAAGGTTTCACAAAGGTCAAAAGGAAGTAAGGTGTCACAAAGGTCAAGGAAGTAAGGTGTCAAACAGGTGTGAGAAAAAAGGTGTCACTTGAGCTATTCGTCAATTTTTTTACTTTGAACCAGAAACGACAGTTTACTTCAAGCACTCACTTCGGACTAATGCATTTCAATTCCATAAACGTCTGTGACCCCAGATGTAATGGTGACACCAGATGTAATGGTGACACCAGATGTAATGGTGACACCAGATGTAATGGTGACACCAGATGTAATGGTGACACCAGATGTAATGGTGACACCAGATGTAGTGGTGACACCAGATGTAGTGGTGACACTAGATGTAATGACACCAGATGTAGTGGTGACACCAGATGTAGTGGTGAAACCAGATGTAGTGGTGACACCAGATGTAGTGGTGACATCAGATGTAGTGGTGACACTAGATGTAGTGACACCAGATGTAGTGGTGACACCAGATGTAGTGGTGAAACCAGATGTAGTGGTGACACCAGATGTAGTGGTGACACCAGATGTAGTGATGACACTAGATGTAGTGACACCAGATGTAGTGGTGACACCAGATGTAGTGGTGAAACCAGATGTAGTGGTGACACCAGATGTAATGATGACACCAGACATAGTGGTGACACCAGATGTAGTGGTGACACCAGATGTAGTGGTGACACCAGATATAATGGTGACACCAGATGTAATGGTGACACCAGATGTAATGGTGACACGACACGAGATGTAACGATGACACCAGACATAGTGGTGAAACCAGATGTAGTGGTGACACTAGATGTAGTGGTGACACGAGATGTAGTGATGACACCAGATGTAATGGTGACACCAGATGTAGTGGTGACCCCAGATGTAGTGGTGACCACAGATGTAGTGGTGAAACCAGATGTAGTGGTGACACCAGATGTAGTGGTGACACCAGATGTAGTGGTGACACTAGATGTAGTGACACCAGATGTAGTGGTGACACCAGATGTAGTGGTGAAACCAGATGTAGTGGTGACACCAGATGTAGTGGTGACACAAGATGTAGTGGTGACACTAGATGTAGTGGTGACACTATATGTAGTGGTGACACTAGATGTAGTGGTGACACCAGATGTAGTGGTGACACCAGATGTAGTGGTGACACTAGATGTAGTGACACCAGATGTAGTGGTGACACTAGATGTAGTGACACCAGATGTAGTGGTGACACTAGATGTAGTGACACCAGATGTAGTGATGACACCAGATGTAGTTATAACTATACATGTCTTCACTAGACGTACGGTCCACAATACATCTCCACAATACAATACAAGGTGGTAGTGTGGTTAGCACTATGTTCAGTCGCCTTTGTCAGGCATCCATCAGAGCTGGCTGGGGCCCAGACTTGAACCCGGGATCCGAACTCTAGACTTCGGGTTAGTAATAGTAAGTTCTGCCATTCGACATTCTATTGATTTACTATATAGTATTACCACTGCAAGTCTATTTTGATATTATGTCGACAATCCACGTATAATTCGTTTTCAGTTTTATTCATGGGCCTATTCTTAATTAGGTCAAGTGAAAAATGGATAATGAGGTGTGTAATGAGGATTAAATGGCGTCAAATAAAGTAATTTATAAAAACAAAATTTAAGGAATTAATATAATGAGAGCAGCTTTAAGAGTAGTAACCTAGAACAGCAGTAAAACAACAGCAGTAACACAATAGCAGTAACAACAGCAGTAACACAAAAGCAGTAACATAACAATAGTAACACAACAGCAGAAACACAACAATAATAACAACAATAATAACACAACAACAGTAACAACATAAGTAACAACAGCAGTAACACAAAAGCAATAACGACATCAATAACAACTACAGTAACACAACACCAATAACACAACAGCAGTAACAACAATAATAACACAACATCAGTAACACATCAGCAGTAACACAACAGTTATCGACGCAGTAACTAAGGCTGCCTGATATCGTTGGCAAGTTTTTGCCAGAAAACCCTCAAGTCCCTGTTGCTGCTGTTGTTGCTGGGGTAGGTGATGTAGGTGTTGCTGCGGATATGGTAGAGCAGCTCGTGGCCCAGCTCGCCGACTGGGATAGATTCCTTCAGGAGGAACAGTAGCACCCGTCGCCCCGTGTGTACCGACTCCATGTTGGCCATCTGGGGAGAGAGATACAAAGGCAGGGCTAAGCGCGTACCAACACAAGTATTTTGTGACCGTCAAAGTCTAAAGGTAGATCTAGAAAACAAAAAATTAGTTGATGAAATGTTTTTAAAGGTTAGTAGATCCCAGAGCTATACCAGCGGGAGTGTAAACTCCTAGTAGGTTCAACCAAGCTGGGAAGGTCTGCGCGGGTAGGGGTCAGACCAAAGCCAACACCCTGGTCCTCCAGGTTGGGGGTTGAGCATAATGTCAGCAACCTTATCTCGTAAAAAAATATACCGCTACAGAAACTGCAAGTACACAAACCCAACATCAACTTGGTGATGAGATTTTAAACCATCCTCTCTCATCAAACATCCCCGATATACCACCTGCAAATCACCTAAAAAGGAGGGGGTGGGCCGGCCAAGGAAAACATGGAAGAGAATGGTTGAGGAGGAGGCGAAAACAGCTGGGCTCTCATGGGCACAGATTAGAGGAGCAGCCCAAAACCGAGTCCGCTGGATATGTGTGGTTGCAGCCCTTTGCTCCCCAGGGGCCGCAAAGGAGGGATGATGATGAGATCCCATTTGCAGCAAGGGGGTGGGGGTGTCATTTCTACATGAGGACAGGGGGGATGGTGTGGAAAATGTAGCAATTTCAAGATGGCAAAACTGGTGTGATTATCGTAACACTTTCTTCTAAATGGCGGTGTTGTTTTTTATTGGTAAAGCTACAATGTTGTTGAGAGTTCTATGACAGAGGCGGAGCGAGGGCGGGGCGGGAGGTGCGGTCCGCACCGGTTGACAAAAATTGGGGGGGGGGGGGGGTGACACCAAGGTAAAAAATTGCAAAATTTACAGAAGAAAATGCTTTTTTGCCTGTTCCATTAATGATTAATTTAAGTTAAATAGTCTTTTAAGGAAAAATCGACAATTATAACAAAGGGGTTAGGGTGACACCAAGACATAAACGTGCTAACTATAGAGAAATCAATGCTACATAAAACTATATTTATTAACATACTATAGATAAGCATCATTATTAATACTTTTACGTCTACAGCAATTATGTATGTGGTATATATTTATATTATAGGCCTATGTAGGCCGATACACACACAGACAGTTTTTTTTTGGGGATGGGGGGGGGGGGGGTGACACCACAAAGTGCCGCACTGGGTGACACCCGACCTAGCGACGCCACTGTTCCGTGACCCCGTAATGCCGTCGTCAAGTAAGTCCCCCACGACCCAGCTCACAGGTGCACCTACCTGCAGCTCGTAGTTACACCAGGTGCTCTTGAGCAGGTGTCTAGTGAGCACCACCAAAGTCTTCCTGCTCTCTCGTACGGCCGTGACGATGTTTGAAGCGATGTAGTCCCCCGTCACAAAGTCCCTCCCGTGTATGAGAAGATCCAAGTCGTGCTTCTGTAGTTCTGGTGCAGGAAAATATAGCACAGAAAATGGTGCTGTTTCATACACATTGGTATAAGTCTGCTAAGAAAATAACTCTTCGGATCTGACGATCTATGAAGCAGATCAAGTAGAGTTGATGTTTATGTGGGTTCGCAAAGGGATAGTGTTCAGTACGGCCAGGCTATTTTACTTTTTTTCTTAACCTTAAGACAGGTACTCTTAAGGTCTGCGTGGATTAAGGGACATAGGCGTAGCAATCTATTTAGGGGCGAACAATTTTAGGTTTTTTATAGTCACGCTAGCAAAAAAACGCATTCCCCCCCCCCCCCCCCCTCGCCATCAGGAAAAGTTGGGGGTGCTTTTGTCTGACTGCAATTAATTATAATTTTTGAAACTCTTTTAATTATCTTTATAAAATATTCATTAAATGGGTGCATAAGTTTATCGATGATTTTTAATGCAATGATGTTTTTTTCTCCTCACGATGTGATAATAAAACTAGTTGAATTTCATCAATCTATATATTTTTTTTTCTAACTCAGAACTATACTAATGGCTCGAATTAATATAATTCCTTTTTAAAGTACTTAAGCTATACAAGAAAAACAAAACTAGTTTGGTTAGATTGTGATAAAAACCTGGCATAAGCTCATCCAAAATAAATCTCTCGTCGGCGTATGCGTAGGAGACAAACGCGTCGTGGTTGAAAGTGGTCTCCGCCTCCTTTGGTGTTTTAAATCTGATGTAGGCAACGTAGTAGAGGTAGCGTAGCTTCCACCTAAATCTGGGGGGGGGGGGGGTATACAAGTTTTGAACTAAATGTTGGCAACAAAGTAGAGGTAGCGTAGCTTCCACCTAAATCTGGGGGGGGGGGAGGATATACAAGTTTTAAACTAAATGTAGGCAACGTAGTAGAGGTAGCGTAGCTTCCACCTAAATCTGGAGGGGGGGGGATAAACTTTTACACCAAATGTAGGCAACATAGTATGGGAAGCGTATACTCCACTTAAATCTGGGGGGTATAGTAATTTAAACTTAGTGTAGGTAATATAGTAGAGGTAGTGTAGTTTCCACCTAAAACTATGGGGAGGGGGGGGATAGAAATTTTAAACCTTAGGTAGGCAACATAGTAGAGGTAGCGTAGATTATACTTAAATCTTGGGGTTATAAAAGTTTTAAACCTAAAGTAAGCAGCAAAGTAGCTGTAGCGTAGTTTCCATAGAAATCTGGGAAAATGATATTTTAAACCTAAGGCAGGCAAATAGTAGAGGTAGCGTCATTTCAAGCTTAATCTGATGGGTATACACATTTTAAGCAACAATTTACGTAACATAATAAGGGTAGCGCAGTTGGCGCTCGAACCACCACCATTGATCTCCAAAATGTTGCTGTCTCATGTCAAGTTACAGTTATTGGTGACGGTGCTATCCTGACTATTTCAAAGCTTTTGGTTTCGAAGTTGTAAATTTCATAAAACAACAATGTCACGTTCTTAAAATTGTCATTGGATAGATATAGGTCTGTGTGTGTATATATATATATATATCTATATATATATCTATCTATATCTATATATATATATATATATATATATATATATATATATATATATATATATATATATATATATATATATATATATATATATATATATATATATATATATATATATATATATATATACTGCTCGCCACAGACGGACACGTCTCAATGAGTTTTCGAGACTGGAAAATTCGCCCATAAGACGAGTGTTTATTAATGTAAGAAGATGTAACCATGTAGTACAGGTTATTTATAACTACTGTTGTGAACAGATAAACCTAATGTATTGTGGGTAAAGTATCAAGGTATCAGGTGAGCCATGTTCATTGACCTACCTGTAGATGATGGCAGCAACGACGGCAGCAGCCAGCAGGATGGTGCTGTGTACGGCTATGAGGAAGATGATGTAGTTACTCACGCAGGCTCTGTTCAGTTCCATCAGAGTCTTGTCGTACCCATCCGTGACGTACCTGTAGGACCCATCAGAGTACTGGCACATGTAGTGTGTGAAGTTGGCATCAAACGCCGGAGATTTCTTCATCCATTGGATAAATTCCAAATTATCGCAGTCGCAGTGGATGGGGTTGTAGGACAGATCCACGGTGATGCTGTGCCCGTGGTGGTTGCTGAGGATGTTGATGTGGTTTCGTATTTTGACGGGTAAGCTTGTCAGCTGACAGTGGCTAAGGTTTAGTAACGTCAGGTTGCCCATATGAGAGATATCCGCAGTGAACTGCCACATATTGTTGCTGTGAAGGTTCAAGACCTCTATCCGATCCAGGTTTTTAAAGGTGTTGTTGGGCATGGTGGTTATAAAATTACGAGATAAGTCTAATTTTCTTACATTCCCGAGAGCTTCAAATACTTGAGTGTTCTCGTGAGAACCTTCTAGATACTCACCGATCCGATTATTCGCAAGGGACAAATTCTCTAAACTACTTAGATTTCTAAAGAACATTTTCTCTACTGTGCGAATTGACGTCGATTTTAAATCCAGAAATTTTAAATTAACCAGACCCTCTATCGGTCCTTTAATCACGGGGAAACAGTTACCATTTAGGATTAAGTTTTCTAGAATATTCTTGTTAGTCACGCTTATGTGAGTCAGTAAGTATTGCAAACCAGCATTGTCCATCTTTAACGTTTTCAGCATCGGCGGTATTGTAATCGAGAAATTGTCACTGTTTGAAGATTTCTCTTCAAGTTCCTGTTGTATATAGCGAGTCCTAGACCTCGGCAGTTTATGGACAGATGCCTCGCCATCGACAATTAAAGTCTCTAACTTCCTTAGACGAGACAATTTTCTGACATAAGCTCCGTAAATAAATCTATTTCCACCCACATCTAAATGCGTTAAATTTGCTGGCAGTTTCTGCAGAACACTTTCGGAGACATTGTCAAAGCAATTTTCCCTCGCTTCCAAATAGGTCAGAAATTTGGGCAGATTTGCCACGTATTCATCGGTGATGGTCAAGGATTGAGAAAAACGCGAGACAACGGCGTTGACGTAGAGTTTTTTCAGGTTAGGATTCCACTTCATCTTGATCAAGTTTTCAATCTTGAAATTCCAATTATACGACAGGTCTAGACTCTGGAGATTCGTTAACGTTTTGAAAGTGTCGGGGCTGACTTTAGTTCCATCCAGCCCGCAATCGCTGAGGTTTAGAGCTGTTATTTGGTTGAGATTAGTAAAGGTGGTTTTATTGAGAGCAAGAAGCTGACAGTAACCAGTCCTATACCCAGCCAAGACTAAGGTCTCCAGGGACGTCAAGTTGCTGAATCCTACTCCAAAATATGTGCTTATACCATCAAGGTACAAGGTCTGTAGGTTGGACAACACTGACAGCGCAATATGCGGGTATACTAATGAACTTTTTATTTTTGCGTTTCTCTTACTGTCGTCCAATATCAACACCTTTAATGAGACCAGTGGCTTGAAAACGCCAACCGGAAAGGTACTATTATGGTACTTTAAACAGTTACCGCGTAAGTTTAAGGTTTCGAGTAGACCAAGCCCTTGGAATGAATCTTCACAAAGGACGCTAAGTTTGTTCTCATCTAGTGATAAGTTTCTCAAGCTGGAGTAGTTGCTAAAGACGCCATTTTGGAGAACAGAGATTGAGTTGTTAAATAGAATAAGCGTTGTCATGTCGGTGGGCAGGTTGCTGGGCACAAATTCCAGGTTTTGGTTGGAGCAGTTGCAGGTGTTTGACCTACAACTACACGTGTGTGGGGGGTTCGGGGTCGGCTCATCACGACTGCAGTTGGGTACGTTATAGAGCTGACCTTCGCTCAAACCTTCCCTCATCTCGCTGGTACAGTATTTCTTGTTTGATTCTTCATTAACTATTTTGCTGTCTTTTAACCGGTTGATCCGACTCTTTTCGATCAAAGGTGAATTTGTTTCGTTTCTTACATCATTTTTAACTTTCAGATTCTCCAACTTAAAATCATTGAATGATGAATCTAACACGCATGAACATGTCGATAAGGTAAACAAGAGTAGTTGAAATATTTCGAAGCAATCTTTAGCAGTTTTCATTTTCTACTAAGTGGGAAGTATAACTGTAAAAGGGTGCTTTAATTTTATGAATCCTGGGATTTAAAAAAGTAGGCCTACTCACATAAGTTTCAGTAGTAAAGTTCACTTTCAAACTCGACGGTCTATGGGGCAAGCGAAGTAGAGTTCAGCTGTTTCTGTGACCTCGGCATAAGAAGGGATAGTGTGGTCAGCACTAAGCCCAGCCGCCTTTACTTTCCCTAATGCGAGTTAGGTACCCATCATAGCTGGGTGGGCTCAGAGACGTTCTACTCACTTGATCCCGGATTCGAACTCGAGTCTTTCGGGTAGCAGTCCAGCTCTAGTTTCTGTGTACACTGTTATTTGTGTCGATATGATTGCTGAAACTAGTGTTCATATAATCAATACTAAAAAAAAACATTGTTCTCTGTAAAAAAAAATAATTAAAATTGTATTTAAAAAATAAGAAAATGGAGTGTATTAAACATTAAAAATTTTGTCTATACATATTAGTTCAAATACTGATTTGTTTCTTTTTACAGTGATTTTAGACATTCGATTGAAACAAAAAAAAAGTAATTAGAAACTACAACCTACTTTTTTTTAGGGTTTATATCCGACTTTAGTAAACCAATATTCTCTCCTAACTTCAAGCTGAGCACACAAACCTCTAGAATACACTTTGACCGTGTAATGTGTCTCTAAATCGACTGAATTTCGACCAGATCTGGAATAAAACAACGACGGTTCCAGGAAGAAAATAACATGAAAACGAATCATTCAATCCGAGTCACGTAAAGATTAGCACCAAAATCATATTCCAATTAAGTTACAGATTCAGAAGGAAGTTAATTTACCACATTTTATTTTTGTGATTTCGTTTCAGATTAAAGAAAATTATCCATGCAGGAAGCTTAACCCTAGTCGTCAAGTTGTAACGAATGATATCTTTTTTTTTGCACTAGAATTTTGATTCATTGATTACACATACCCCGATGTACATGGAGTAGTACACGATATGTAGAAACTAAAGCGCAAAAGAGAATTCATACATATTTTATAACATACGAATGGAACTCTTTAAACCTAGCGCCTCCGCTATATTATTATTAATATTATACATCGTTTTCATAAACCACTACCCCTTATTTTAAGTGAAATTTCTAAGCCACACTTCTCCCCACACGCACACACAACTCCTCACACAATCACCAACTAGCAGAGTGAACCGAACAAAAATATTCTTTTGTATGGGAATGGCGGATCACTTAGACTTTTATAAAAAACGGGGTCGTCCTTGGAAAACAAAACTGGTTAATGGGCATTTATTTTGTTAGCCACATTTTTAATATGTAGATACTGATACTCATTGTGCATCCATATCTCCTCTTTGGTAGAAGGCAGTATTTATTTTTAGGCGTCCCTCCTACGACCCCCCCCCCCCCCTTCCTCGTAAGGAATATTCCTAAAAAAATAATTTATTATTGTCTACCTCTTTGTGGTAATTGCGGACAAAGTCAAAAGCCGACGCCATCCACGGAAGGGTCAACAGCCCCCCCCCCCCCCCCCCCCCCCCCAAAAAAAAAAGATTGTCGGGGAGAAAAAAACCTTGGTCGTGACTGGTTTGCTGGTCGAAAGAGATTTAGCAAATAGTAAAGTATCAAGGGGAACTAACCGGAGCAATCATGGTAAGTAGCCTACCATTGTTGCAGTACAGTCCCTTTAATGTTGTTATTTGTGAAGCTTTTAAAATGTTAGTTTCTAGCACCAACAATGGTTAATTAATGAAAAAACGAGAATTTAATTTTCCTAGCTCCCGTTTTAGTGGTGTATCGTTATTGTTGTCTCTCAACAACTGATCCATTCCCAACAGTTTAACCACTGCGTGAACCCTATAATTCTGTAATGTTTTTTGTACACCGTTTCATCAAAACTAGAGGTGGGCTGGCTTTGTGTATAGGAGGGCCTGCAATTTTCAAAGGGGCCCACTGATATTTTTGTTCTTTCGTGGGGTGTGCGGGAGAGAGGGGGGCACAACATTCATCTTAAATGTCTTCTTTTCTACCAGTATAAAGAAGAGATATAAAGAAATAAACAAGGCATCTCGTAAAAAAAAAAAAAATTTCTAGGCGCCATTTTCCACCCATGTAGAAAAATAAACTTTAATTTTGTGACACACAGAGTAAAGAGGATTAAGTCAAATAACTCAAGGTTAGCAAACTTTGTTCAATTACACCACGTTAACACTTGCAAAAAAAACATCGCAATAATTTGATGTTATCTGAAAACAATTTTTCCCATGGAAAATGTATACTTACTTGTTGCAAGTTTTTTTAAGATGTATAATATTATACATATCATAAGTGTAAAGCAGTGTTAGAAGCATTATTAACTGCTATATACTTAAATAAAAAAACAGAATACCAGCATAAAATTCAAAGTACAAATTTTCTTTTTTTAAGTCCAATAAAATTTATTAACATTTGGTTCTACATAGAAAAATATCTTTATTTTTAACTCAAAATAAACAATAAAACTTACTGGTATAAAATGATATGTCGGTAATGCAAAAAAAAAATATAGTCAGTACGGATGCTAAATGAGCTGTATTAGTTCAAATCTATTTGTTATAACAAGTCAGTATGTTAAAAAAATTCATTTAAAATCCAGCCATTGAGGAAAAAAAAACACAACTTAAGTGTACAATGTGCTATAAATTCTTTTACCTGACCTTAAGAAAAATTGTAACCCAATATCCCTTCATTGATGATGATACATTTTTAAAAAAAACAAAGTGATAAGACTTTTAAAATTGTTAAAGCATGAATAGTTCTAATTTTACTATAGGTGAAAATATTTAAATCTAAAAACTGCTTTATAATAGTAATATCTTATCACATTATCTGTGCCTACAGATAATGTGATGTTTACAACGCTTGTAAAAAGTCAATAAATGTATAACCTCATCTTCCATTACCCTGGGGGTAACATGGTGTTAGAAATTGGTGAAAATATTTTCGACAAAAAAATGGATTCGTAACATCATCCGTAACCCTTGGCCAGCGTGGTATAAAGACAAATACACTGTAAATTCTCAAACATTGAACATAAAGCAAGTTTAACAAAATGTTCAGATTTCTGTATTGGAGTATACAAACCACACACATATTGAATTATCAAACCACATACAAACAGCTAGAATTTTAAAATATAATATCTCAGTAAATGAAATATAAATTGAAAAAGTTGAAATTGTTCTTTTTTGTTCTTGAAGAAAACAATGCTAAAAAGTACAAAATCTAAAACTTTATAACTTGGAAACACCACTTAGGGTAGACCAGATATAAAACTATGTGGATATGATTATTAGATATGTGCCACTAAACATGCCCTGAATTCATTGTAGAATATTTTTTCCTGAGGCTTTGTGTAATTATAATTTGATCTGTGCCTAATTATATGTTTTTAACTGTTGGTAACATACGGATACATGTTTACGAGTGATCCAGTGCATAGCACAACATATAAGACTAACAACCACAAGCTGGTTACAAAACAAGACTAAATGAAATGACAGCTCGTTAAAACTAAATGAGTTTAATACTATCTACACAAGGCAAACTATTCTAAATATAAATACACAAGCTAGTACACAAGCTAAGATACAGTGGCTGTCTAACAGTACAGAACTAACCTTCACTAACCTAGTGGAAGAACTGGACTAGACTGAGGCTGAGTCAATCACACACACCTTATATCCTTACAGAAAACAGGTACAAACTGGACTGTCACAACTCAAAGGAGGATTGAACAGAGACGAACGGGACAGGGTACAAAGTACAAATAACATTCACCCAATTCATCTCCCCTTACTAATTCACTGTATTAACATTGCAGAAAGAATTACTGTCATGAACAAGAGATAAACCAGTGTTACTTTAAACATTGGAAAAAGGTTCTCCTGTAAAAATTTCATGTATTAGACTGTGGTGACCATCTATCTCAATGGCATGTGTTTGCCTGCAATCAAATGGACTTGCTTGGCATTTAAAGAAATTTTAAGCTAGCGTAAAAAAAAAAAATTAAAACAATAATTTTGAGATTATATTAATTTTTAAATCTTTATAAATGTTTATATTTGTGACGGAGATTTAAAAAAGAAATCAAACTAAAGTGTATTTCAATTGTCTTTTAACAGTAGCAAACTGATATCCGAAGTGCAAAGATGCCAAAGGTAATTAAATTTTTTTTTCAGAATTACACTCAGCATTAAGTCAACAGTGAAACTATTATTTCAATAGGACTATTAGTCCAAATCAATGTTTACCCTCCAAATCAGTGTTAAAAGTGATTTAAAACTGTATTACTAACATGAGCACAGATGCTAATAAAAAATATACATAAACATGGATGCAAACAAAGTACACTGTCATGGAGAGTCACACTTGTATACCATTACTAACAGCCCAATAGGAAACAGCAACAGACACATATTGAGCTAGACTTGAGGAATGTATGCAACTGAAAAAATGAACCTTTGTATAAAAACACAGAAAACATTAGTCATACGAATAAAATTGTTAATTTAAAACATTAGTAACACAAATAAAAAGGTTCATTTAATCATTAGTCATGCAAAAATAAAAAAGGTTCATTTAAAAAAATATTTTTCTGGCCAATGGACAGTCATTTTTAGAAAGCAAGAATAAACAATAAAAATATAATCACCAATACAACAACCAATGAATGAATGAAAAATTATTGCACATTTTTTCAAATAATTTTTTACATACTTTGAAAATCAATTATAATTTTACAATTTTTATTGCAAAGATTTTGTTTAATTTGGCCTGTTTGATAACAAGTGAATCTACAAATGCAAAATTCTATTCACACCTTCAATACTATGAGAAAAAAATAATTAAGTTCATAGCCTCAATTTAAATTAATTAACTTAAATATTTGTTCATTTTAATTGTTTACAACTTTTTTTTTATTGCACATTACAAATATGTTCACATAATAAAACAACAGCACTAGAATAACTTTTATGTTGTAACACAGAGCAGTAGTACAGTTTAATGTTTATACTGCTGGATCTGTTTCATAAAATTTGTAAAAAAAACAAACAATTTTTACCACTGCTCAAACAGTTTAAAAGAGAAACATTTTTCACTGCTAGGTCTATAACACGAAAAGGTAACAAGTGTTAGATAGCAAGCTATTATTAGCCCAAGAGTTTTCTGGAATCTAACTAAGTTTTAAATCAAAATAATTAAAGCATGGACCATGACGTACATAAAAAGACCACGTAAATATGTGGTCATTGAGCACATATAATTAATCAATGAATACCCTAATGCTGTGGAAGGATTAAAAGCTATATATCATAATATATTAATTCATCCATGTCACCCAGGCTTCTCAATAACATTAGATTCATACCACATTTTAAAAAATGTATATTTGATGAAAAATATATTAATTACTTAATAAAACAATTGAAGATTCTAAAAATGGTTCCTAAAAGACTAATGATCATTAATCTATTTAAAAGACAGTTGTAACAATAGTCTTGATATTCAACCTGCTAGACGATGACTGGCTTAAAAATGGATTGATTGAGTTGATATGCTTGATGATTATTGTAATGATATAACAATAATGATAGATTTGACCAAGGACCTGATAATTCACTTTATGAGAAGCTTCATATACATTTGACAATATAATTTATAACATTAATATGGACTTGATAGTAAAATTGATATGGATTTGATGATTCACTTGATAATAACTTGATAAAGTCGTTATGATCAACTTGATGATGTAATTGATGATAGACTTGATATTTGCTTGATGAAAAACTTGATATTGACTTGATGACACACACGCATGAGTCTGTTACTGTTTCAGATTCTGTCGAACACACTTCTCCCTCATAGAGATTATCTTAGACCTGGGCATAGACCCAGTCACAGTGAAAATACTCTGTCAAGCAAGAATTTTATAACAGGTCAAAACGCTATTAATAATTTCAAGCTAATTTTAGCTGATCTCTCAACCCATTGTCTATACTAGCAGACATCATCATATAAACAAACACTGATAACATCAATAAGTCCCTATGTAACCACATCCACCTCCACAATCAATAACCCTACTCTTATGATATCTTGCCAAAAGATGTACACTACTTTACTAGGATCTACTTTAATAGGGTCTAAAGTTTAGGCTGAAAAATTGAGTTTTAGATATTTTATGGTTGAGTTGAGTTGTATTCTTAAAGTTTAGTCACAAACCATATTTTCTAGTGTGTTGAAGCAAATTTTACAATTAGTTGACCATTATTTCTTTTTTTTTATTAACGACTTCATAATTAGCTGAACATAATACATTGTGATATTTTTATATAACAGCATGCTTTTTGCGCTAGAGCACTCGACTGTTAGTCTGAGGTCTAGAGTTAGGATCCCAGTCCAGACTTGTGTCCCTGAGTCCACCCAGATATGACTGGTACCTGACTCTCATTGGGGAAAGTAAAAACGGCTGGGCATAGTGCTGACCACACCACCTCTTTATATGTCGAGGTCAAGAAAAAGATTGCCTCTACTACTTTTTCCTATTGCGAGTTAGGTATGAAATCGGAACTTCATTTTGTTTTGCTTTTTTACTTTAATAGTTGTGAATATAGAGACAGCGTACTGACCTTCATGAAATTATGACAGTCTAGGGTGATGGGGTCCTTCACAATGTCCTTGAACACGTCCACGGCCTGAGGGAAGTTGGTGCACTGCATCAGACGGTCCTTGTTCAAGGTTATCAAGGTCAAGGCCACACGCAGCAGAATCTTTGACCCCTCCATGAACAGGCAGTCCCAAATTCTTAACACCGTCTAAAGTAAAAGACCAAATTAAATTACAGCTAAAGCGGAACATTTTTTATTTAAGACGTATAGAGAAAGTAAAGCTATAATTTATCACAAATGTCTGCAAGGACCAATTGCTTTAAAATATACAGGTGGTACATTTCAATTTATCCAAAATGGCTGAAAAATAGATAAAAATCTGGACATCACCTCAACAGGCATGACGTCTGCAAACAGGCAGATGAACCACTTCATGCCAATCAGACACCACTGCACCCCCAGCCCTTCAAGGTGTGCATGTAGGTCTGGCAACTTCCACCTGGTGAGTCAGACAGAATGAGGTCAACACAAACCAGGTTTGGTATTATAGGTAAAACATAATCTGTCAACACATAAGTAAAGTAAGTAAAGTTCTCTTTCAAACCTGACGGTCTATAGGGCAAGTGAAGTAAAGTTCACTTGTTTCTGTGACCTCAGCATATGAAGGGATAGTGTGGTCAGCACTATGCCCAGCCGCCTTTACTTACCCTAACATAAGTTAGGTGCCCATCAGAATTGGGTGGACTCAGGGACAGTCTACTGACTAAAACCTGGATTTGAACTCAAGACTTACAGGTTAGCAGTCCAGCTCTCTACTGCTAGACAACTCCGTCAACACATATTAGTTTATAAATGATAGTTAAAACATAACGTCAACACATACAAGGGGAAAAGAAGCAGAAAATGAAAAAAAAATACTTTCATTATTAGATTATATAAGTACAATAAAAAATGCTCACAGATCTGTATTAATTGTTTACAACCTTGTTACTTGATGGCAGTATATATTTTATTAAACAAGAATTTTTCGGTACAGAGAATCTCAATGATACACAACAAACATTTTATGACATGACAAAACTGACCTGACAACCTCTCCAAGCAGATCTTGCTCAGCTTTGATAGCTATCATGTTTGGTGCATAGAAGTCTAGGAGAAAGTAAATAAACATTTGATAGCTATCATGTTTGGTGCATAGAAGTCTAGGAGAAAGTAAATAAACATTTGATAGCTATCATGTTTGGTGCATAGAAGTCTAGGAGAAAGTAAATAAACATTTGATAGCTATCATGTTTGGTGCATAGAAGTCTAGGAGAAAGTAAGTAAATATTTGATAGCTATCATGTTTGGTGCATAGAAGTCTAGGAGAAAGTAAGTAAATATTTGATAGCTATCATGTTTGGTGCATAGAAGTCTAGGAGAGTAAGTAAATATTTGATAGCTATCATGTTTGGTGCATAGAAGTCTAGGAGAAAGTAAGTAAATATTTGATAGCTATCATGTTTGGTGCATAGAAGTCTAGGAGAGTAAGTAAAAATTTGATAGCTATCATGTTTGGTGCATAGAAGTCTAGGAGAAAGTAAATAAACATTTGATAGCTATCATGTTTGGTGCATAGAAGTCTAGGAGAAAGTAAATAAACATTTGATAGCTATCATGTTTGGTGCATAGAAGTCTAGGAGAAAGTAAATAAACATTTGATAGCTATCATGTTTGATGCATAGAAGTCTAGGAGAAAGTAAGTAAATATTTGATAGCTATCATGTTTGGTGCATAGAAGTCTAGGAGAAAGTAAGTAAACATTTAAGGGCTGTTTGGTGCATAGAAGTCTAGGAGAAAGTAAATAAACATTTGATAGCTATCATGTTTGGTGCATAGAAGTCTAGGAGAAAGTAAATAAACATTTGATAGCTATCATGTTTGGTGCATAGAAGTCTAGGAGAAAGTAAGTAAATATTTGATAGCTATCATGTTTGGTGCATAGAAGTCTAGGAGAAAGTAAGTAAACATTTGATAGCTATCATGTTTGGTGCATAGAAGTCTAGGAGAAAGTAAGTAAATATTTGATAGCTATCATGTTTGGTGCATAGAAGTCTAGGAGAAAGTAAGTAAACATTTAAGGGCTGTTTGGTGCATAGAAGTCTAGGAGAAAAAAAATTAGTAGCTATTATAACTGATGTGTCATTTATTCAAATCTTGGGGAAAATTATTTATAAAATTTCAATATTTCTGTTTTTGAATGAAACAAAGCTAATCATAGAACATCAGTGCTTGGCTATTGTGTTTCATATATTCATCTAAATAACTGATCATGTGTAGCAGAGCTAGTTTGGGTGTCATGCTCTGTGTTTAGAGCACACAACTGCTGCCAGGAAGGTCAAATAGCTGGTCCCTACGCACGTCTGATGAATACCGAACTAACGTTGGCGATAGGCAGCTGAGCATAGCGCTGACAACACTATCCCTTTGTGTGTCTAGATCAGGGGTCGGCAACCTTTTGAAGCGGAAGAGCCAAAAGTTACAATTTTCAAAATTTCCCTGATTTTAAAGAGCCACTAACATTTTCTTTATTTCAAATATTTTATTTTTTTATTAAGAGTATTAGTATTTGTTCAAGGAGCTGGAGAGCCGCATCTTGATATCAAAAGAGCCGCATGCGGCTCGCGAGCCGCAGGTTGCCGACCCCTGGTCTAGATCATACCAGGTAGAATGTATGGCCTAGTAGATAAAAATGTTCTAGACATACCTGGTAGAATGTTCTGTATGAGTGTGTCCATCAACCAAAAAGCTTTTTCTTCTGTTTTCACCACTAAGAGCAACAGCCCAGCAATGAAGTTCATACCCTGAAGATTCAGTCACAACAAAACAATAAACATGGTAAAACATTACCCAACAAACTTGACTAAGTCCAACAAACATGGCCACTTTCAACAAACAGGGCCACATCCAACAAAAATGGACACATCTAACAAATATGGCCACATCCAACAAACTTGGCCACATCCAACAAACACGGCCACATCTAACAAAAATGGACACATCTAACAAATATGGCCACATCTAACAAATATGGCCACATCCAACAAACACGGCCACATCTAACAAAAATGGACACATCTAACAAATATGGCCACATCTAACAAATATGGCCACATCCAACAAACACGGCCACATCCAACAAACACGGCCACATCTAACAAAAATGGACACATCTAACAAATATGGCCACATCTAACAAATATGGCCACATCCAACAAACACGGCCACATCCAACAAACAGGGCCACATCCAACAAACACGGCCACATCTAACAAAAATGGACACATCTAACAAATATGGCCACATCTAACAAATATGGCCACATTCAACAAACACGGCCACATCCAACAAACTTGGCCACATCCGACAAACTTGGCCACATCCAATAAACACGGCCACATCCAACAAACTTGGCCACATCCAACAAACACGGCCACATCCAACAAACACAGCCACATCCAACAAACTTGGCCACATCCAACAAACTTGGCTACATCCAACAAACACAGCCACATTAAACAAACACAGCCACATTCAACAAACGTGGCCACATTCAACAAACTTGGCCACATTCAACAAACTTGGCCACATCCGACAAACACCGCCACATCCAACAAACACAGCCACATCCAACAAACACGGCCACATCCAACAAACACGGCCACATCCAACAAAAATGGCCACATCCAACAAACACAGCCACATCCAACAAACACAGCCACATCAAACAAACACAGCCACATTCAACAAACTTGGCCACATTCAACAAACTTGGCCACATTCAACAAACTTGGCCACATTCAACAAACTTGGCCACCTTGGCCACATCAGACAAACACCGCCACATCCAACAAACACGGCCACATCCAACAAACATGGCCACATCCAACAAAAATGGCCACATCCAACAAACACTGCCACATCCAACAAACACAGCTACATCAAACAAACACAGCCACATTCAACAAACTTGGCCACATTCAACAAACTTGGCCACATCCGACAAACACAGCCACATCCAACAAACACAGCCACATCCAACAAACTTGGCCACATCCAACAAACACAGCCACATCCAATAAACATGGCCACATCCAACAAACTTGGCCACACCCAACAAACATGGCCACATCCAACAAACACAGCCACATTCAACAAACTTTGCCACATCCAACAAAAATGGCCACATCCAACAAACATCCAACAAACTTGGCCACATCCAACAAACTAGGCCACATCCAACAAACATGGCAATATCCAACCAACCTGGCAATATCCAATGTGTGGTATACTCAGAGAAATGGCCTCCAGAACATTCTGTAGGGGTCTGCGTAAAGATCCTGGGTCTGTCAGCTCACTGAAGTAAACATTTTCAGGGAATGTCCTGTGCAGATCTGAAAAGTCAAGTTCAAATCTTAAACTGTGTGCTCAGCCATCACAGATCTAAAAAAATATTACAGTCCCTAGAACAAATGCTTCTTGATTCTCTTGATAGCTGTTATTTTTTAAAGTCAAAAGTATTATTAAAGAATGTGAAGTGATTTTAAAAGGAGGGATATACAAGTGTAAAAAAATTATTAAAATCTACAGTAGACATTTGGAAATTTGTTTACTAACAATTAAGTTGCGTTATTTCTTTTAATTCTATTTTTAAAGCTACTTGTATAATCCTTAGAAAACATTGGTTCATCATCATCTTTTCCTGTTTATCCCAAGACACATGGGGCAGATGAAGTAGAGTTCATCTGTCTCAATGACCTTAGCTTACAAGGAGATAATGTGGTCAGCACTATGCCAAGTTACCTTTTTTTCCTTAACATGAGCTAGGTACTCATCAGAGCTAAATGGTCACAGGGTTGATCTACTGATTTAAACCTGGATTCGAACTCAAGACTTTTGGGTTAACAGTCTAGCGCTCTACTACTAGGCTATGCCGTCTCTTCAAACAATTGTTAGGATCTATATCAAATCAGTAAACCTGTTGGCTTTCAATACCGCTAGTTTTGTGACATTTATCTTAAAGTTGGTATTAATTAGGATCACCTAAGACAATGGTGTCGGACACTGACGGGTCGGTCATCTGGCTCCTCAGGGTGGCGTACCTCTGCGGGTCTTCAGACATGCGTTTTGCTGCCAGACTAATCTGCATCCACACCTGGGAGATGACGAACACGTACTCACTCAGAAGGTCACCAGTATACATGGGGTTTATAGCTAAATACATTATTGGTCAAAGACTTCTTTACAAAATAAACACTTGAATAAGGACTTTACTTGTCTTTTTAACACTAAATTTGAGGAAATCCACACTGACATAGTATATTTAGTTGAACTGTGTATACTGGGTTGTGTTGTTGCTCCACGATAGAAACAATTGAACCCTACTTGCACCACAAAAGTTAAACCCTACTAGCAGAAACACTACACCATGACAGGAAAACTGTTACGACAGAAACAACTGAACCCTACTTGCTCCACTACAGAAACAACTGAACCCTACTTGCCCCACTACAGAAACAAGTGAACCCTACTAGCACAAACCCTACACCATGACAGGACAAACTGTTACGACACAAACAATTGAACCCTACTTACACCACTAAAGATACAGTTGAACTCTACTTCCCCTCTACAGAAACAATTGAACCCTACTTACACCACTAAAGATACAATTGAACTCTACTTCCCCTCTACAGAAACAATTGAACCCTACTTACACCACTAAAGATACAGTTGAACTCTACTTGCCCCTCGGCAGAAACAATTGAACCCTACTAGCATAAACCCTACACATAACAGTACCCAACTGTTACTACAGCTTGACTTTTCTACCCCACACCTCCAGGAAATTTTCTCTTACCTCAGGTCGTATATCTCCAGGTATGCCCTTCCTACAAAATCTTTTCACTGAAGAATTAACAAAAAAAGAAAAACTTGTCTCAACAGTAAATTACAAGATTCTAACAGTAAGAGTAAAGATAAATATAAGTAGGCACAAGAGTTGAGATTTCTGTTTATAAAACATTGCATGATATATATGATATATATGAAAGTGGGAGTGAATATGGACATAGTGTGTTTGTAAATGAGTATGAATTTTGATGGTATTTGGATGTGGAAGGTTTGTAGATGGTGTGTGGATTTTGATTGGGTGTGAATATTGGGAGGCAGAGGTTTGAAAATGGATATTGTGTGAATGTGGATGGTGTGTAGACATGGATGGTGTGTGAATATGTGTGTGTGTGTGTGTGTCAATGGGATGTGAATCTGGGAGGGGGTTGTGAATGTAGATGGTGTGAGAGTGGATGTTTATTTGTCTTGTAGACATTTACATTTATACTTCTTAGCCCTAACTAGTGGATGATGATGGTGTGCATGTGGTTAAATCTAACATGGATATCCATGTGGATCTTGTACTTACATTTCCTGGACCTGGGCAGCTTTGTTTTACCATCGTAGGTGTCCTTCCACCTGAGTGCCCTCCTGGTCAGAACAGACAGGTAGGTGGACATGAACTTCTCGTAGGCATCAAAGTCAAACTCCTCCTTTCTCTCAAACCCATACGGGTCCACTTTTCTGCAAGGATCAATCATTACAATTTACCAGATGACTCGGGTAAATTTATACACATTTTAAGGATGAATTATGACCATAAACCAAATGTCCATGATTAATTTAATATACTTTAAGGATCAATTATGAACATAAACCAAATGTCCATGATAAATTCATGCACATTCTAAGGATAAAATAAGACCATAAACCAAATGTCCATGATAAATTCATGCACATTCTAAGGATAAATTAAGACCATAAACCAAATGTCCATGATAAATTTATAAACATTTTAAGGATCAATTATGACCATAAACCAAATGTCCAAGATAAATTTATATAATTTTTAAGCATTACTCATGACAATAAACCAAATGTCCATAATTAAGTTACACACATTTAAACATATTTTCATCATGTAAACTTAAATTTAACAAGTTATCTTACTTTAATGATATAGTTTTCAATTTTCAAGAAACAAAATATGTCAAATAATTTTTTAAGATTAATTATTTTGAGTTCACCATGAAGAATACATCAAATTGTAGAAGCAAGTCACAAAGTGGATGTATTGAAATGGCTAAGCTGCACTCCATGCTAATCTGGTATGTATTGTACAAGTAGAAGTACAGAAGATAAAAGCAATGTAAACAAATGTAAGTAATGTCATTCAAGATACAATGTTGTAAGTAATGTTGGTGGAGATACAATGTTGTAAGTAATGTTGGTGGAGATACAATGTTGTAAGTAATGTTGGTGGAGGTACAATGTTGTAAGTAATGTTGGTGGAGATACAATGTTGTATGTAATGTTGGTGGAGATACAATGTTGTAAGTAATGTTGGTGTAGATACAATATTGTAAGTAATGTTTGTCAACATACAAGTAATGCCTCACCCAAAATGGGTGAATATAAAAATCTTGAAGTGGGATACAAAGCCAGATTTTAAAAGTGAAGTGATCTAAGTTCCAGTCAAACAATAAAGCTGTTACACCAGTTACACAATTAATGGTGGACTTGTAAAGTTTGACACAGTTATATTTGAAACACCCCAGGGATCAAAGACCTATCATAAACGACCAAGGGTTCACTAATGTATCACAAACTATGAAGGGATAAATGACCTATCACGAACTATAAGGATTCACTGAACTAAACAGGAAATCTATGACCTGCTTCCCCCCCCCCCCACACACACACAGTTTACCATCAATTCTATTGAATATTAGCCTAATAACAATAAACCACAACAACCACAGATATTTTCAAAAGTGTTTCAACAGTAATGTAATATGAATATTGACATTTTTGTTTATACTACTGTGAACATATTTAAAAGTAACCCACAATTATTTATTGATTGAACTCAAAATGTTCAATACATACCAGATTTTTTTTTTATTATAGACAGTGACATACCTACAGCTGCCACAAGCAAACAGATTGGTTGTAAAGGGTTTTGTTTTCGAATATGTTAGTCATAAACTTAAAAATATAAAACTATTGAGGTGTTTACAGTACCGTGGTAGAATTGCAAGAATAAGACATCAGAGCCTATAGCTAATGTGTTTATATAAGTGTTAACATCCTACACATAAACTTAACGCCTAAACTCAGTGTGTCACCATCTTTCACCTAAACTTGATGTATTACTAACCTTCACCTAAACTTACAATATCACCACCCATCGCATAATTTAATGTATCACCAATCAGAACCTAACATATCACCGCTCACAACCTAAACCTAATGTGTCACCACCCAGATTCTAAACCTCATGTGTCATCACCCAGAACCTAATGTGTAACCACCCAGAACCTAATGTGTCACCACCCAGAACCTAATGTGTCACCACCCAGAACCTAATGTGTCACCACCCAGAACCTACACCTAACATGTCACCACCCACAACTGAAAACCTAACATGTCACCACCCAGAACCTAAACCTAACGTGTCACCACCCAGAACCTAACCCTAATGTGTCACCACCCAGAACCTAAACCTAACGTGTCACCACCCAGAACCTAACCCTAATGTGTCACCACCCAGAACCTAAACCTAACGTGTCACCACCCAGAACCTTACCCTAATGTGTCACCACCCAGAACCTAAACCTAACATATCACCACCCAGAACCTAAACCTAACATATCACCACCCAGAACCTAAACCTAACATGTCACCACTGAAACCTAAACCTAACATATCACCACCCACAACCTAAACCTAATGTGTCACCACCCAGAACCTAAACCTAACATCTCACCACCCACAACCTAAACCTAACATGTCGCCACTGAAACCTAAACCTAACGTCTCTCCACCCACAACCTAAACCTAATGTGTCACCACCCAGAACCTAAACCTAATGTGTCACCACAACCTAAACCTAACATGTCACCACCCAGAACCTAAACCTAACATGTCACCACCCAGAACCTAAACCTAATGTGTCACCACCCACAACCTAAACCTAACATGTCGCCACTGAAACCTAAACCTAACGTCTCTCCACCCACAACCTAAACCTAATGTGTCACCACCCAGAACCTTAACCTAATGTGTCACCACAACCTAAACCTAACATGTCACCACCCAGAACCTAAACCTAACATGTCACCACCCAGAACCTAAACCTAACATATCACCACCCACAACCTAAACCTAACATATCACCACCCAGAACCTAAACCTAACATGTCACCACCCACAACCTAAACCTAACATATCACCACAACCTAAACCTAACATGTCACCACCCAGAACCTAAACCTAACATGTCACCACCCAGAACCTAAACCTAACATGTCACCACCCACAACCTAACCTACCATGTCACCACCCAGAACCTAAACCTAATATGTCACCACTCAAACCAAAACCTAATGTGTCACCACCCAGAATCTAAACCTTAAGGTTCACCACCCAGAACCTAAACCTAACATGTCACCACCTGCAGACATCTCCTCCTGAACACGACGAGTCTCCAGACGACGATGACCTCGACCTTCCCGTCCTGTCTTCCCCCACGGAGCCTGGACTGTGTGACATCACAACAAATCTCAGAACACTTGTTTTCCTCTCAGAATCCGGACACGCACAAGCCAAACCTATTCACTTTCAAACTCCTCCACTCTACTGCTACTACGTTAGACAAATACTCAAAACTTCTGTTTTAGAGTAAGGTCAAACATGTCTTTAAGCAGTTAAAAATGAAAGGAAATACACATAATATGAAATGTCAAAGTGGATTGCTAAAAAAAAAGCCTCGAAAGCACTGGACTAGTATCCAACGTTTCTTGAGGTAACACCGATTGTATCTTTTAATAATTGCCTAGAGTCTGTGCATAAATTCTACATGCACGATAAAGAGAAATAGTTTCCAAATATAGTGCTATACAACAAGACAGCGAACGTAAAAGATGACCTTTGAAGTTCACATTGACTAATAGACACACGATTTCCTATTGCCTGACTCTGGTCCAAATATAATGGTATAGTCCAATGCAACAACACAGCGAATATACAAGTTGATCTTAAAAATCCATATAGACTAATAAACAAACGATTTCCTATAGACCGACTTTGGCTCAATACAATGGTATAGTCCTATGCAACAAGACAGCGAATATACAAGTTGATCTTAGAAATCCATATAGATATCCTTTAGACTGAGTCTGCTCAAATACAATGGTATAGTCCTATACACCACGACAGCGACAGTACAAGATGATTTCAGAAATTCACATAAACTAATAAACAAACGATTTCATATCGACTGAGTCGCGCTCAAATACAATGGTATAGTCCCTATAGAACAATACAGCGAATATACAAGTTGATCTTAGAAATCCACTAATAAACACACGATCTCCTATACAATTAATCTGGCTCAAATACAATGGTATAGTCCCTATAGAACAATACACGTTGACCGTAGAAATCCACTAATAAACAAACGATCTCCTATAGACTGAGTCTACTTAAATACAACGGTATAGTCCCTATGCAACAAGACATCGAATATACAAGTTGATCTTAGAAATCCACTAATAAACACACGATCTCCTATAGACTGAGTCTGCCCCACGTGTGAAAACAGACGGTATCGGTGTTGAGCCGGTTAAATCGCGCGTGATGTATTGATCGTTGGATCGTCTGCGTGGTGACACAATATGCTGGTGTGACGTCAGCAGAGGAATGTGGTGAGTCTACACCCCATGGCGCGGTTATTACAAACTGTATAACCACTAGTGTATGGTAAGATGTAAGATGCAATTTGTTATCGTGAGGTCGCTGATGCATCTAACCCAGAGTTTATTCCAGGCATCTCTTCGGGGGGGGGGGGGGGGGGGGGGGGGGGGGCTTAGCCCCCCCCCCCCCCCCCCCCGAAATTTTTTTACCGCCCCCCCCCCCCGAACGAAATGAAATTTATATAATTTATATAGAAAATATATACTTTTAACAGTGTCCGCCCCCCGAAGAAAGTCTACCGCCCCCCCCCCCCCCCGAAAATTTCAAGTGCCCCCCCCGGAGAAAAAAGTCTGGAAGAAACACTGATCTAACCTACATACATACTTTATAATACTGTATATATATATATATATATATATATATATATATATATATATATATATATATATATATATATATATATATATATATATACATACACACACACAGACAGACAGATAGATATAGATATTAGCATAAGGAGAGGGGGCTTTAGACAATTGAACGTTGAAAAAAAAATCTTTAAGTAAAATTTTCCCTTTACCACCCAGTCCACAGATTTTAGTGGAAATGAAAGCAATGTACACAGTCTATATAAGGGACATCAGACCAACGGCTTATCGCGACAAATGATGACACATTGTATCGCATGCTCAACCACACTTTAACACGGTCGCTTATCGTAAGCCTTGATACGGAGAGAGATTTAAAGACAATCACTTCCCTAACTTATCATCTACCCCCCCCCCCCCCCACACACACACCCAGTCAATCTGAGCCAACGCCCAAAGTGCTTGTATATACCGGCCTGTATCCAACCCTATACCGGCCTGTATCCAACCCTATACCGGCCTGTATCCAACCCTATACCGGCCTGTATCCAACCCTATACCGGCCTGTATCCAACCCTATACCGGCCTGTATCCAACCCTATACCGGCCTGTATCCAACCCTATACCGGCCTGTATCCAACCCTATACCGGCCTGTATCCAACCCTATACCGGCCTGTATCCAACCCTATACCGGCCTGTATCCAACCCTATACCGGCCTGTATCCAATTCTATACCGGCCTGTATCCAACCCAATACCGGACTGTATCCAACCCTATACCGGCCTGTATCCAACCCTATACCGGCCTGTATCCAACCCTATACCGGCCTGTATCCAACCCTATACCGGCCTGTATCCAACCCTATACCGGCCTGTATCCAACCCTATACCGGCCTGTATCCAACCCAATACCGGACTGTATCCAACCCTATACCGGCCTGTATCCAACCCTATACCGGCCTGTATCCAACCCTATACCGGCCTGTATCCAACCCTATACCGGACTGTATCCAACCCTATACCGGCCTGTATCCAACCCTATACCGGACTGTATCCAACCCTATACCGGCCTGTATCCAACCCAATACCGGACTGTATCCAACTCTATACCGGCCTGTATCCAACCCAATACCGGACTGTATCCAACTCTATACCGGCCTGTATCCAACCCTATACCGGCCTGTATCCAACCCTATACCGGCCTGTATCCAACCCTATACCGGCCTGTATCCAACCCTATACCGGCCTGTATCCAACCCTATATCGGCCTGTATCCAACCTTACCCTAATCATATTCACCCGTTTTAACCACCCCATCAAATGACGTCATAATCGATACGTTTCTCATTCCGCATATTGCCAATTGTTGTATACATTAAATATGGTGCTGTATCTTTCTTTAAATATGGACGTATCTACAGAAGAAATATCTAAACAACAAATACAGATGTCTGATCTTTAAAGTGGTTATCTTACATTTCTTAATATATTTTGTTTCAGACCATGTAATGTACATTGATAAATTGTTGCACTGTTTATCTACCTTCTGTGTTAAAGCGTACTGGGTAAAGTGCGATTCAGGGACATCTCGCACTTTAGCTGTACGCTATAACACAGTTTAATCTACCTTCTGCTATGGCGTACTGGGTAAAGTGCGACTCAGGGACATCTCGCACTTTAGCTGTACGCTATAACACAGTTTAATCTACCTTCTACTATAGCTTACTGGGTAAAGTGCGACTCAGGGACATCTCGCACTTTAACTGTACGCTATGTTGTAACTTTAAAAGTATGAACTTCCTGTCGCGTTCTCAAAGTACTTGAACTAAATTAATTGATTCAGTCTAAATCATTAAGAGGAATCGACAAATGTTCAAAGTGTAGGCCTACAATTATTGTAAATGTATTTTGTCCACTTGAGTAAGAGGCATGTTGGTCGGGTGGGTAGAGAAGACGCATGCTTAGCCCAAAGTGTCGAGTTCGGGTCCTTGGCCACTATGTTTACTCAGCTCTAACGGGTTGATCATTAAAGTTGTTGGGAGGGAGGGGGGGGGGAAATAAGGCGGTGGGGATAGTTCTTAACACAGATTCTCTACATAGACATAATTAAAGAAATAGATAAACTCTACTTCATCTGACAGTGTATCAGGGCTAGTATCGTTACTTTTCGAATTTTTATAATTTATAATTTTGAATATTGATTTGATTCGCAATACTCAATGTAAGTTGCATGGCCTTATGTGAGCTATTGACAAAAGCCATTCTCTACTAAAGGTGTAACGTCTTTTATATACCTCCCCCAGCCCAAAGGTTTTATATAACGATACGTTACGTCACAATGACAGAGGACTGTTAAAGATACTCTATTGAATACTGGTCTACCGGAATGAACTATAATTCAGATTCTGTGTTGTTTTTGGTCATAAAAATGGTCAATTGTTAGAGATCAAACAAATTAATTGCTTTGACATCCGATAGATCAATTAATACACACCAAAATGACCACTTGTTTAAAAACAGAAATTGACAATCACTTAGACATAAAACCGGTCTATAACTTAGACATGCAACTGACCAATGAGGTAGTCTAAAGGCTACCTATCTGACCAACGGCTAACTTATTCTACGTGCAACTTACCCATAAGAAATGTACCGCATTTTAATATTCTTGTTTGAACCACTACCGCGTCAACACACCAACGAATCTGTACCAACTTCACACCAACGAATCTGTAGCAACTTCACACCAACGAATCTGTACCAACTTCACACCAACAACTCGGCAACAACTTCACACCAACCAATCGACAACAACTTCACACCAACCTATCGACAACAACTTCACACCAACAGGCCAACAGACCGTGTGTCTATGACTCTAATCTAGTTGCAGTCTGACACGGTCTGACCTAATGAACTTGTGCAAAGTGAGTCCGCACCAATTCATCTAATGATGGCGAGATTACCGGTCTAGAGTTTGGTACAGATTAGCAGACGTGTGTAAGTGGCCACTTCATGTATGTGGGGGGGGGGGGGGGGGGGGGGGTTGAGAAAGATGGGAGGGGGGAAGGTCAGATTGATGGTGACAGAAAGTGGAGTTTTTTCTTACCAGACGTACAAATAAATTATTATTATCTTTCAACTTTTAAATAACTGCGAATTAACTTTTGGAAAAACAAAGATACACGGAATTTTTTTTAGTTGTTGGGGATGAAGTACGTACTACATACTACAATAGCCTCAGTCTAATACCTTAATTAATTATGATTTGTCAGGATGACCTAATCATAAACACAGTTAATTACAAGCATATTTCGGTCTAATTATGTCCAATGCGGCGTGGTCGAATGGTAGAGCTTACGGCTGCTAACTCGAAAGTCTCGAGTTCAGATCCCGGGCTAGAATCTGTAGGACGACCCTGAGTCTACCCAGCTCTGATGGGTACCTGAACCAAGTTAAGGGCAAACAGGCGGCTGGATATACTCTACACCTCTTTTATGCCTAGGGGATTGAAACAGATAAACTCTACTTCATCTGCACTATGTGTCTTCGGCACGATCGAAAAAAAAAAAGATGATGTTGTCCAATCGAACACATCTACCATTTGATACAACTGTACGCCTATGTGAGCAATAACAAGATTTTACTTCGGCTCGTATGTGGTTTGATTGGTTAGTGGTTAACCTTTTATCTCAATTGTAATCCATTTCAATCGGATCGCTTTCTTTCAAACTTAGGAGCTAAACGCATCTCCAAGTGTAAGGAAAACACACACATACCATGACGAGAAGCACGATCACGTGACTTACCCATGCCCGAATCTTGCTGTCCCAGGTGTACTCATCCCCCCGGGTTGTCCTGTCAGTCAACCCCGTGAGTCATGGGCCAACCCGGCTGGTCATTAGCAGACTGAGGTCATCCTCTAATGATGGATGGTCCTCGCGGCGAAATTAGACGCGGCTTACGGGGTTAAAGTTCAAGAAAACTGCGAACGTTGTACTCCACACGTGGTTTTTGTTGTCAAGTGTTCTGCGGGATGGAAAAATAAAACTGAATTAAAACTAAACAATGAAATAGTTTTTAATTAACATAAACATGACAATGGGGACATTCTTTCATTATGGAAGTTTTTTTTTTTAAATGGTGGATTTGGTTTCGTGAGACAGAGGGTTAAAATGTAGATTGAAACAAAACAATGAGAAACTAAACATTGAAATGGAGATATGCGCCTACATTCATTAATGGAGGGTATTTTTTCCCCTCTTTTTGGAAGAGGATTGGAGGGGGGGGGGTATATAATGGGTTGCGGGGATTAAACGTAGACTGACACTAAGCAATTAAAAACGTGACAATAGAGAGGTCCATTCGTCAAGGAATTTTTTTTGTATTCTTTCAGATGAGTGGAATTGACAGGGGGGGGGGGGGCGACGGGAGGGGACGGACTTCATAAGATAGAAGTCTACATATATAAACACAAAACAATTAACTAATTAAACGGAATTAAACGGGATGATGGAGAGATCCATACGTCATGGAAGTTTTTTTTTAAGGGAACAGTGAGGTGGGGGGGGGGGTCTTGGAGGGTGGAAGGCCAAGTATGTAGATTAAAACAGAGTAATTAGAAACATAAACACGATCGACAATTCATTTATTTATTTTTTACAATTAAGATTTGTGTAGAAAGGGATGAACGGGGGTTTAAAAATAGACCATCACGTGAATCAGAATCACTCGGGGGCTTGTAAAAGTCAACAACAAAAAGTGATCATGTGGCCATTAGTATCACGTGACTGAAATAGCTGAAAAATTTCGCTATCAGCCCTATAATAACAAGAGCCTTCATGTTCATATGGCTAATCTAACATAAACACACAGACAACATAACTATAGCCTGTATGTTGATACGGCTCATCTAACTTCTAAAGTACATAAACTTAGACACATACCCATAACTATAGCCTGCATGTTGATACGGCTAACCTAACTTCACAAGTACATGAACTTTGACACAGACATCTACAGCCTGTATGTTGATACGGCTCATCTGATTACACATGTTCAGACACTAAGACAGACACATGTGGGTATCGATTATCTACATCATATTACTCAGCCCACATAAATAAGCTTACATCGATATTTTTTCTCTGAGAAACAAACGGCAGGAATAACAAAAATCCGTATGAAAATATTTTATATTTACTGTCTGGCCTTTTGGGTGAGAGTTTTGGGATACAATATATTGGAACACTTTAGCAAGTAAAGACTTTCTTTAATTTGTTGTCGAAAGATACGTTTGTTACATTTTTTTAAAAACCTGTTATGTATCTGATTGTTGGACGTTAAGGCATCAGATTTTAAAATAACTTATTGTTATCAGCAGATAGGTAACACAAATACAACAACAACAAAAGTAGAAAGCAATAGAATTAACGATCCTCTCACTAAACTTTAGTGACTAAAGTATACTGGAATCATTTTAATGTAATGAATCTAAATTACTGGCCTAACGGATTCATATATTTTTAAAAGGCGACGTCTAGAAATATAAGCCGTTAGTTTGTAAAGCTGAAATATAAGTTACCATAAGTATCTACAAGTTTGCCACTGGTGTTAGAAACAGGGGGAGTGAGAGGTGTTCATATAAATGCGCGCACAGTGCGCATGAGGTTTTTTTTTTTATCGAGTAAAGAAGATACCTATGAAAGTAGAATGTAGCATAATAAAAAAAACCTCTATCCACGAAATGTGAGCGAATGCAAGTGTAGTACTAGTAGTAGCATTTTACGCATTTTTTGTCAGCGCATTTTTTTGGGTTTCGCATTTTCACGTTAAGATTTTTTTCGAGAAACCGAAGCGAAGAAAGACTAGCGATAACTTAAGTTACTTCCCTTCCCCCCAGTTTTACAGTTTAGATTACGCTAGGTAGCTGCCATTTCCCTCAAATCATAATTACAAATCAAATGTTCTTTCAACACCACTCAAGTCTCCCGCCACTTTTAACCGGCGTAAATTATATTTTACGACTCGACTGGGCATAAACTGTACGTGGTATCGATTCTACTAAGTATCGATTGCATCGCGCAGACATACCACGCCCCATCTGTGATTGATAATACGACGACAGAATCGATTAGTGACTCACGACATCACCATTTGGTAACACGTGTTGCCCTCGATATCAAATTTGTTTTCATTGAATCTTTAACACAATGATCGTAATGAAACCTTCGGGAGAATGGGTGATCTTTATATTGACAAGTTGAACAATAGGTCAGCTACAAGGAGAATGGTTTTTTAACAGCCGATAATGTGATGATATATGAATGACGTCATACCTTAGAATACCATATTAAAAATGTGTATACGGTCTTCCCCAAGTTACAATTTTAAACGAAAATTAACTTTTTACTTTCTCGTATATACGAAGTATAGAGAAAGTATTGTAATCGTACAAAAAAAAAATCGAGATTTTTACAAATCTCGACGTTTTACACCTCACTGATACGGAAAAACATAATTTTGCAATCTTGTCCGTATGTCTGTGTGTGTGTGTGTCTGTCTGTCTGTGTGTAAACACGATTACTTGAGTACCGTTACAGATAGGTTGATGAAATTTCATATATAAATATTTTATCAAAATCGTAGATCCGTATCGACTTTTGAGCGATTTCCGATAACCGGGAGGGGTACTTTTTCTACTTTGAATTTTTCAAAAGCCTATAACTTGAGTACTATTTCAGATAGATAAATGAAATTTCACATGTAAGTAAAAGATCTAATTCTCTACCCTTTGTCAAATTTTGAGTAATTTCCGTTGACAGGAAGTACTAATTTACGCTATTTCCGATTTCTCAAAAAAACGCATGCAAATTTATAAAGTACTAATAATATTGCGCACTATTATGCACATTTTGTTTTGGCGTTCGCTTGGTGCGCAATTCTTTTTTCTATGAGATTCTATTCTATTTTTAAAAGTTTAAGTAATTAAAAATCATGTCTACATTCCAAGTTATATAAGAATATGCGAGAAAGTTTAGGGGAAATTACTCCCGGTTTATTTAAAATTATCGTCACAAGAGCAGCTTTCCACCACCCCCACCCTTTTTCCCCCATGGAAGTGTGACGTCATTTACGAAAAATGTTGGCTACAGAAACTGAAAACTATTGGTTAAGTGAAAAGTGTCATAAAAACTCGGCCACAATGGGTAGAAAACAGGAAATATATCAATGGGACATTTCCCTCTAGATGTATTGGTGCATAACAGAATGGATAACAGATAAATCAACATGACTTATGACATATAAGTATAAGCATACTAAATCTATATGGGCCTAAAATAAAATAAAAAATAAAATTAATATCAGGTAACAGGTGGTAAAGTATAAGGTAAACAGGTAACACATCAGATAAACATATCAGACAACACATCAAATAACACACCAGACAACACATAACGCATCACCATAAGTATGGTTCCAAAGATATTCTGGTTTAGTCTGTCAACTGACATTTAACACACGTCAACAACACACCATTCATAAGACTGTCATCTAGGTGTCTGTCTCAAGTGTGACGCTGACACTAAAATGTCATACTATAAAAACTGTTGAAGACTAGTGTCTTCAATTGAAGTTACGGTTTAGAGTCGACTCAGCTCTAAACAGTACCCAACTTACTTTAGGTTTAAATATAAATAAATATAATTAAATAATGCCATAGGAAAAAGTTATTTTACTAAAGCATAAATTGTATTTGTATTTACAGCTACAACATTAAAAAGTGTTATAAACATTAACAGTAACATAATGTAAAGTTAAAATACCTGCTGAGACACCAAGTAGTGTGCTAGGTGTGATATGACTATCCAAATGGTTGGAAAATTAATTGCTTGTTAATTAATTAAGATATCCCTGATATTCCAGTCAAAATTTTTTAATGGCTAAAATAAAAACACAAGCAAGTCCTGACTGGTTAATTAATTATTTCTACAAACACAACTCTTTAATTAGTGAAAATTTAACTATCCTAATCACAACACCTAAAAGCCTAACCACAGCTCTAAAAATAGACCCAATTACAAATTGGCCAGATACACCCACCAGCACAATAAACTAGGTCAACCTGACCTGTCACCACTAGGGTTTCTCCTGACGACTTGCTATCACCAGGCCCTGATACACTATCAGGGTCTCATGTTACCACTGACAGGATAAACAGCCTATCTCACCAAACTTTGTATCACTGGTCATAGGGTGACTGGCCTACATCTCAATCAGCTTAGAGAAGTTATCACAGGCAAAACTGTTTAATCCTATCATCTTTTTCCTTTAGTGCTTCCTTTAGTGCTTAAGACACATGGGACAGAAGCAGAGGCGTAGCGGGGGGGGGGGGGGGGGGGGGGGGTGCGGACCGCATTGGGTGACACCATTTAGGGGGGTGACACCAAGGCAAAAAAAAAATAGTAAAATATATAGAGAAAAACTTGAGGGGGGTGCAAATCGAAAGTTTGAGGAGGGGGGGGTGCAGATTGAAATTGAAAGTTTGTCCCCGGGAAGGGTCGCTACGTCTCCGAGGGGGGGGGGGGGGGTGACACCATTAAGTGCCGCATAGGGTGACACACGACCTCGCTACGCCACTGGACAGATGGAGTTCATTTGGTTAGAGGACATTGGTATATAAGGGATAATATGGTCAATACCGTGCTCATACATCAAAGTTTCCCTTAAGTCAGTCAGGTACCCAGGAGAGTTGACTGGACAAAGGGACGTCCTACAGACTTGAGTCTGGGATCTGAACTCGAGACTTTAGGGTTAGCAATCGTAAGCTATACCATCTGACCTTGCTGTCCCCTAAACTGTTCAACAATAGGCTTAGTCTTCAAATGAAAGCCTATATTCGGTATCATGTTATCATAATGATTTGTATGTGATTATACAAATATTGCCTAATTATTTATGAAAACAGTCTTAGATAATAGAGAGAAAGGCATGGGATTAAAGATAAATAAGGTCTCTGAAAATTACAAGGCCTTTG